ATGAGCCAATGGCTTTATGAGGATAGATTATTCTGTTTTCTTTAAGGAAATTGAGGATTTTATGTCTGTTTCAATCACTTGCTTCTACACAAATTGTAGGCCCTGTGATTCAAAGCTAAAACAAATTAGAGGCTTGTATAATTATTGGCATATTGGGGACATACCAGCAAAAAGCCCTGGAAAACCACATATAGCTCATAATGAGATTGCTCCTCTGTCACTCATATGTGACCTCATCCAATTTTTAAGTGTTTGGCTCTTATTATTTAACAATGTTTTTAGACATATAAAATGTATTTCTAGAGACATTTTATATGGGTGTAATATTTAAGCCAGATAGATCTAAATTCTAAGCCTAGCTCTATCAGTAACTATATTAGGCACTTTACTTCTCTAAGCTTTATTTTCCTTCCCTGTAAAATGGGGATGGAAGCAGCATCTAATTCTCACAATTGTTGTAAACATTAAATAAGGTGATGTAATAGAGTGCTTAGCACAGATCCTGCTACACAGCAAAAGCTTAATAAATATCAGCATCACTGTCACCATCATTATTTTTTAAAATCAACCTTTAATAAGGTATAATTTATACACAATAAAATGCACCCATGAGTTTTGACAAACGCAATGCCTGTGTAACCATCACCAATTGAGTTATAGAACATTTATATCAACCACAAATTGTTATTTTAAAATAGGAAAACTGAAGGAGAAGTCACTGTGTAGCACAACATATGGCATCAACCATAGAAAAGAATAAATATGTGTTAACTTGAATTATGGGACCACAGGAATGCTGCAGGAGGCACATTCATTGTGAGGGAGTTGGGGCCATGTCAGGTGTACTATACATTATTGCTTCTGCCTGTGCAGCAGCGATCTCTGCTTTCTTTGCTAAATGCACTGTGCTTGTCCTTTGATGGAACAACTTCTCCCCATAAAGCCCACTTTATGTTTTGGGAGTGGGGCTATTTCATCCTTGACTCCAGCCTTGTCATTTCTACTGGAATTCTTAGAAAACTCTCTTCCTGCTAATATTGCTGAATGTAATTTGGAGAAGTTGAGAGAGCCACTGACAATGAAACCACTGCAGACAAAGGTCAGCTTGAGGGATAGAGAGAGAAACCTTGTGCTGGTATCACCTTCTAGATCCCCAGAGGCTGCCTTGAAGCTGGATCTACCCCTGAACTTCTCAGTTACATAAGGACCCATGAATGCTTCATTATGGATCAGATCTGTTCTCAGCTGATGTTGAGGAACCAATGTGTGACTGGTCCATGCCCACTTCTGATTATATGGGCTCGGAGACAATGTACATGGGAGTACCTTGCCAGTGGTAAAGTTTCCACAAATGGGAGGTAATTGCATGACAGGTATAAAGTTATTTGGACCATTGAGGCCAGAAATAATATAGATTAAAAATATATATAAAAGCGGAACTATTTGAACTAATTGGCTAATTTTAAGGAATTCAGACATTTATCCAAAGGATTTAGGCCAAATGTTGCCTGAACTGTTTCTCTATTTCATATGAAAGTGATTTCTGGGGCTTAACTGTTCTTTTCTATTTACATGCATGGCCATAACCGATGTTGTCCCATGAGTCCTGTTTCTTTCTTATTAAAGATGTGTCCCTCCCATTGATGTTCAGCACCTTTGAAGTTCCAGTTGCTGTTCTAAGCTGGGGTTGCTGCATTGGATAATACAAGATCTCTACCCTCATGAGCTGATTTTCTGGGAGGAGAGAGACAACTGCACCCTCCATGTGCCAGTTTCTGTACTGCTGCTTTCTTTCTTTTTTTTTTTTTTGAGATGGAGTCTTGCTCTGTCACCAGGCTGGAGTGCAGTGGCATGATCTTGGCTCACTGCAGCCTCTGCCTCCTGGGTTCAAGCCATTCTCCTGCCTCAGCCTCCCGAGTAGCTGGGACTACAGGCATGCACCAACACACCCAGTTAATTTTTGCATTTTTAGTAGAGACAGGGTTTTATCATGTTGGCCAGGATGGTCTCTATCTCTGAGACATTGCGATCCACCCACCTCGGCCTCCCAAAGTGCTGGTATTACAGGTGTGAGCCACCATACCCATCCTGTATTGCTGCATTCTGATTCTCTCTTTCTGATAATACTGCTGAAAGCATGGGGGGTCTTTTGTGGAAATTCCAGATTAAATTTATGAGAAATTTACACAGTATTCACATATTTACATATTTGTCTGTGAATGGGCATATTAGGTTATATGTTTGTGCCACATATAATTATTAATATTATCTGGGTAAGCTGGTTCAGGTTACAACTCTGGCCCTTAATTTCCTATCTGAAAAATGGGAACTATCATAGCACCAGTCATGCCTTGTAGGGATTATATGTGGTAAATAATTTTTTTGTTTGTTTTTTTTTTGAGACGGAGTCTTGTTCTGTTGCCCAGACTGGAGTGCAGTGGCATGTCTTGGCTCACTGCAAACTCTACCTTCCCAGGCTCAAGTGATTCTGTGTCTCAGCTTCCTGAGCAGCTGAGATTAAAGGCGTGTGCCACTATGCTAGCTGTAAATGCATGTAAATAATTTACCATAGTGCCTGGCATAAACTCAGAGCTTAACAAATGATAGCTGATATATTATTGTTGTTATTATTAATCCACGTATATATTTTATACACATTTGCCTACTATTCCTAAATGGGATAAAACAAATAATTGTGGAGCACATTTTATTTCATTCATTTAAAATGTATTGAATATGACCATGTATGCCAGGCCCACTGTGGCAGATTATATTTTTCAGAAATGGCTATGATAATATCTCCCATTCTTGTCATTCCTCCATCTAGAGGTACAGTCTAATCTCCTTCCCTTTAAATCTGCATGGGCTTATGACTTGCTTGTAGCCAATGAAAGTGGTAGAAGTGTGTGACTTCCAAGTGATTCAGGGCAGGCAAGCCCCAAAATTGCAGCTTAGCCCAGGAGAGTTCTTGGCTTTGCCCAGAAAAGAATTCAAGGGCAAGCCAGTGGTGAGAGAAAGTAACTTTCATTGAATCAGTGCTGCTCCATGTAGAGGAGGGCTATCCCATAGGGAGTGTGCTCAGAGTGGGCAGTGTATGAGCTGTTGGCAGCTGTACCTATGCCTACTTTTAATTATATGCTAATTAAGAGGTGGGTTATTTAGAACTTTCTGGAAAGGGGGCAAGGAGTTTCCAGAACCATATAAGGTAACTTCCAGGCCATTGCCATGGCTCCTTGCAGTGGCATTTGTAAACTGTCATGGCAATGGTGGAAGTGTCTATGCTAATGAGCAGTGAGGGCAACTAAAAGTCTGTTTCTTCCTCATCTGCTGGTTTCTGCTGGCTGCTTCACTACACCCTGTGTTGACTGGATCCTGGTTTGATCAGTGGGGCTGTGATTAGAAAACAAGTCCTGCAGGCCTTCCACCTCACAAGGCTAGATCATAAAAGGTGATGCAGCTTTCCCCTTATGAGCTGTCTAAGTTCACACTGGAGACTTAAGGCTGCGATACTGTGAGGAAGCCTAAACTGGGCCATAATATGGAGAAGTCCTGAGCTACCTGAAAAGTGGGAGATGCCTAGCTAACCATTCACTCCTCCAGACCTTGTCACCATTCAACTACAGTCACATGAGAGACCTCAAGCCAGAACTGAGTGGTTTCAGCCTCCCCAAATTCCTAACCCACAAAGATTGTGAGAGAAAATAACATGATTGCTGTTGTCTTAAACCATTAATTTGTGGTGTCCTTTGTTCTGTATTGATAGATAACCAGAACACCTACCTTTAAATGCTCAAGATAAAGCACTGAACAGATTTACTTTCATAGGGTTTTCATTCTAGATCTTTCTCATCATTGGCAAGTGAAGAACAATTATTTTTGGGTTGTAATTATCTATCAAATAACTGTCTGGGCCTGCTATCAAGTCTAACTTTGTAGATACAATTATCAAACAGATCACATTAACTCATTTATACATTTACTTATTTATTTTACAATTTTTTGTAGAGACGGGGGTGTCACTATGTTGTCCAAGCTGGTCTTGAACTCCTGACTCCAAGCAATCCTCTCGCCTGACCTCCAAAAGCAATGGATTACAGGTGTGAGCCACCGTGCTCCATTTATGAATTTAATAAATCAGTTACTTTCTTAATATAGATGGGATACCTCTGACCCCTCCTGAGTGAAAAATCCATGTTTCCAAGCATCCAGGCCTTCTATCCTATCACAAGGCATGGTTATTCCTTGTTTGCTTCCATCTCTCCTACTGACCACCAGCAGCTAAATTCATTCTGTTACTCCTCTTTGTGTCCTTACCATTTAGGTTAGTGCCTGCACATATCAGACCTAGTTAAAAAACAAACCAACCCAAACAAATACGAAACCCCCACGTAGCTGAAATGGCTGCTAGTTCCTAGACATAGAAATAATTTATTCAAGGACAGTCGCTATCCTCCAGGAGTTCACAATTTAGCACTAGACACTCTGTGGGACGCAGTCTGACAAGTGCAACGAGTGAGATGCCAGAACTGAGTCCTGCAGTCGAACAGAGGGATTACAGGGCAATGCACTGGGCATGGGAGGTGGAGATGGCTCTGGGGAAGGATCCATTCATTTATTCCACAAACACTTACCAATCACCGTAGCACACATAGCACATAGTAAGCGCTCAATATCTGTTATTAAATGCCAGCCACTGTGCTAGGTGCCGGGATGCAACAGCGGACAAGAAAATTGAAGTGGCACTTGCCCTCGTGGCGCTTACCGTGTAAGCAGTGGACAGAATTATGTAAAATTGTGCTAGATGCAGGGCAGGAAAATAACAGGCGGCTGAAATTCTCGTAAGGATGGCTGTGAGCTCCTTCGGCCGGGTGGGGGGCGGGGGGGCCGTGGGCGGGTTCTGAGCAGGAGTGGCGGTGAGGGGGACGGACCATAGTGGGTGGAAAGACTGCAGGCAAGAAGAGCTGCTAGAGCTGGTAATTTTAAGATGCAAGTAACATTTTTCTGCCTGACTGAAAGAGGAGGGTTTGGTCGCTTGGGATTCTCCCGGGACAGGGGACTGTATTTTGAGGGTAAAATCGGTTGCCCAGCAGTGCAGGGCAGGCGGTGGTGAACTGCAGCCCTAATTCCCAGATTTTTTCATGCTTGGCACATCCAAGCTCCTCGGCCCCCAGGACCAGCAGACTCGCCATCTGCGGCTCGGATTCGGGCCGGAGCAGGCGGGCAAGGTGGGTGGGGGGCGTGCACTGCAGCGCTCACCCTGAGGTTTCAGGGTGTGCAGCGCCCGGAGGGCGAGAGGAGGCGGAGCTTGCGCTGCGGACCTAGGCGTTGGCGAGAGCCACGCCCCCAGCCGCAGACCCTGCCTCCAGGCCCCTTTGATTGGATCAAGCCGCGGAAGGGCCGGGCGTCCTGGGGTGGCCAAGAGGGTCGGGCAAGGGAGGGCGCGCTGATTGGCCCGGCGGGGATTAAGTCATCGCTAGCAGGTTCGAGTGGCCCAGACGCCGGCGGGGCGGCCGAGGCTTCTGTGAGAGGGCGCTCGAGGCTGCCGAGAGGTAGCTAGCGAAGGAGTCGGGGAGGCGGCGTCTGCACTCGCTCGCCCGCTCGCTCGCTCGCTTCCCGGCGCCGCTGCGGGTCCGCGCTGCATTTCCTGCTCGCGAGCCGTTCCATCGCGCGCTCCCGGAGCAGCCGCCCCTCGTCCGGGTCCCGGGTGGGTTCGGGAGTTGTGCTAGCCGGCTACACCGCGTTGGGGGCGAGCCGGCGCCACACCTGTGGAGCCGGCGGCAGTCGGGGGAGCCGGCCGGGGTCCCGCCGCGTGCGTGCTTTGGGCGGCGGGAGGCCGGGACCCCGGAGGAGGCGCGCCCTCCGGCTGGGCGCCGCGGGCACCATGGGGCTCCCAGCGCTGGAGTTCAGCGACTGCTGCCTCGATAGCCCGCACTTCCGAGAGACGCTCAAGTCCCACGAAGCAGAGCTGGACAAGACCAACAAATTCATCAAGGAGCTCATTAAGGACGGGAAGTCACTCATCAGCGCGCTCAAGAGTGAGTGTCCCGAGCCCCGCGGGGACGCGGCCCCGGGGCGGGAGGGACGGGGAGGTGGCGCTTAACCCGGGTCGCTCGAGCGTCCTCAGGGGTTCTGCCCCCGGTACACTGGGGGACGGGTGTCGACGCCTCCGAGGCAGGAAGGATACGGAAAGCAGGCGGACCACCAACCATCAGATGAAGAAAGAGACCCGTCGCTACGCCTTTTGCGTTCGGGGTTGGCCGGGAGGTGACCGAGCACGGGTGGTCGTGGGCGTGTGCGGCACGCAGGTGTCCCAGGAGTGGGGCCAGAGTGCCCAGCGCGCCGCAGCCTGCGGGCAGATCTCATCGCGTCCTCAGCTCCAGCTCCCTTAGGGGCAGAATTGCTCAGCCCTGGGTGCCCAGCCGTGAATACGGAGCGTGCCTGCCGAGGGGGCGCTGCCTCCCCTTGGGAAAAGGCGGGTTGTGACTGCTTCACTCTCTGCACGCAGCTCCAGCCTAGTCCGGCCACCAGGTTCCCTGGGTGGAATGCTTTGTTAGCTTGCGATCCCTGGAGTATTGGCAGCCAGTAATCTCTAAATCTAGAATCAGTACGTGTGCAGGTTCTGATTCTTGTGTTTAGCAGAAGGTGATAGGGGTGGGAGTAGAGAAGCAGAGTGTTCCTTTACTCTAAACTGTGGGCGAGGATTTAAAAATAGAGTGAACATATCCCAACTCTCTCCCTCGCCTGCTCCCAAGCTCTCCTTTTTACCTTTCCCGTTATCCTTGAAAACGTAAAGGTGTGAGAAGGAATGCCCATAGTCCTCAGAAAAAACTTATTTCAAAGATTATTGGACCTTTTGTGAAGCCATTTTTGTGTTTTTCCCTTTTGGTACAAGGGGAGAGATGCAATTTTGCATTCTGCTTCACTTTTGCAGAGCCAGAGAGTTTCTTTTTCTGGCCAAATAAGCGTGCTCTAGGGATGAGTGCTTTGGATTGTGAGAACGTTTTTGGTGCCTTTTCAGTCTCCTCATTTAAAAATAGCTCAGTCCATCTTTTAGTTTTGGGAATTAGGAACCACATGAAGGCAGATAGTGGAATTGTCTCTGACTCTCTTACTTTATCTGTTTCTATGATGGATTTCTTAGTAGGTGATACCTTTCAGCTAAGAAAGGTTGCCTTAGCAGAGTAGAGTCCTAGCTGTGAGAATTGTTCCCAGGCCTTTTTAAAGGGCGTTTACTAAAGTCAGGTGCCTGAAATGTTATTTTGTCAGCTTGTTGCTTATAAAAATGAAGAGAGAGACAATGGAATGCCAGGGCAGCCCAAAGTGCCAATCTTTTGGGATGAAACGAACACAGACTGTGATGTATGAGGCTTCTTAGAGGCAGATTCTCAGGCTGTGCCTTACTTCAAGCATATGAACAGACTCTTCCTTTGTCAATGATCAAGGCCATCCTTGGTTTAGGGGACTTGGGTCCCTGGTTTGGAGTAAGTTAGGGGCTCACTTACAGGTTGGGCCCAGGAATTTTGATTGAATCTCAGGCTGGATTTAGTGGGTTCACTGCTTCACTCAGCAAACGTTTGGTGTGCCTGTGGTGTGCTGGGCACTGCACTGGACACTAAGGATGTAGGAATGAATATTTTGCTGCTCCTATGCTTACGGAGGTGTACTTCATGCCAGGCACTGCTTCACCTATAATTATCTCATGTGCTTATATTCATTTTGCAAATGAGAAAACAGGGGCTGGGGGGAGCACTACCTCTGAGTCACAAAGCTTCAACAGCAGAGCTAGAGCTTTTGAACCCACCTGGTTTGAGCCAGAGATGGAATCCCTGCCAATACAGAGCTTTTACTTCTGCCCCATCTCACTTGCCTAGAATGGAACCTTGTGGGCCAAGTTATAGAATTTGGACTTGTATTTTCTATTTTGGCCTTGAATTTGAGGAGGGTGCATTTGGGTGACTGGCAGCCTATTAGTATTTTGGGGGGGTCAAGAATTCTTTGATAGGAAGAAACATTGCAGCGATAGAGTGAAGGGTTATTTAAGCTGTCTAATGGAATGGATCAGCCTTGTAACCTGGGGAAAAGACTGATGGGGAACTATGTGTTCTGTTCTCTATATCCAGCTCTACTACTTTATTCTACCACTACTACTTCTTGATCAGGTCACATGACCTCTTAATATAGAGGGTGGAGTCAACCATTGTATCTGCAGATTTCAGGCATTCCGATATCATGAGATGCTTGCTACATTGTATACTATATTAATGTTTGTGTATTATTTTCTTCAGTCATGTTTTTTATGTCTATAAACAGAAGTTTTTTGCCAGTACAACTTAAGCATAAATACATAATTATACAAATAACGTTGGGTTTAGATAATCTATATTCTCTTATAGCTCTAAACTTTTATAGCCGTATTTATTTTATTTTACAGTTATTTCATAACTAGTATTTGCAGCTCTTTGGATTAACTTGCTTTCAAGTGTTAATCATAGGCAATAAAACTCTCCTCTAGGGATTGCCAAAGTTCGGGTAGATCATTGTTACTGTTACTTCCACTTATGAATAAGATGCTGGCAATGGAGATGCAAATTCTTCATAGATGTAGATCCCGTAAAGGCGAAACATGCAGCAGGTGCTTCATTAAGTGAAAATATTGCCAGTTATTTTTTAGACTCTGAGCCCTGGTTAGCAAAGACCAGCTAAGACTTTGTATTACCCTCTGAAGTTTTGTAATTCTTTCTCCATCACAGGCTTTGAAGAACCCTTGTAGGCTAGAGGGACAGATGAAGGTGTCTGAACATGTCTTGGCTTTGTAAAGCAGCAGGGCTTCTTTTGTGGGAAGCATTGAGTGATTATCAGTGATCGTCTTCACTGAGTAATAGAGCATTGAACAGAGAGGCCAAAAACCTGTTCTTGGTCTGATTCAGTAAGGTAAATAAGTGGTTCATCCTCTTTGCCTTTTAAAACAAAAAGCAAGAGTAAAAAGGTCAGCATTGAGTTACATGCATTAAAGCCTGTCACCCTTTTGTGCTTGTTAGGATTAAGCATAGGCATTTTGCAATACGTAAGTGCTTCTTGAATGGCATAAACTCCCAAAGGATGTTTGATGCCAACTTGCTTTGTTTAGGAGTAAATATGTTACTCACAGAATCCTAATGGATGTGGAGTTGGGTAGCAAAATATTTTCCCCAGATCTTTTGCTTTGCTTTAGCACCTTGTGAATAAAGGAAACAAAAGGCATTTTCTAATTATTTGTAAATGGAAGTAATTGACATTTGGATATTACTCACACAACAGCAAATTAAATCCAAACAAAGTTTTTTAGTTTTTATATAACATTGGCTTAAAAAAATCCCCTCACTTCACTCCATTCTGTGTTCTTGGTTGGATGGAATAAATTGCATCCAGTCTGTAGTTCTCAACCCATTGACTTTGGCTTAAGCCTTCCTCCCCTGCACTTAAAATGACTAATGGATGGCTGGGTGTGGTGGCTCACACCTGTAATTCCAGCACTTTGGGAGGCTGAGGCTGGTGGATCATGGGGTTGGGAGATTGAGACTATCCTGGCCAACATGATGAAACCCCATCTCTATTAAAAGTACAAAAATTAGCTGGGTGTGGTGGCGTGCGCATGTAGTCCCAGCTACTCGGGAGGCTGAGGCAGGAGTATTGCTTGAACCGGGAGACAGAGGTTGCAGTGAGCTGAGATAGCACAGCTGCACTCCAGCCTGGGCAACAGAGGGAGACTCCATCTCAACAAAATAAAAAAGAGCAGTTTTAGATTTACAGAAAAATTGAGTGGAACATGTAGAAAGTTCCCCTATAGTGCCTTATACCTGTCACTTCCAGTTGCCCCTATTTCTAACATCTTGCATTAGCATGGTACGGTTCTTACAGTTGAACCAATATCAATATATTATTATTAACTAAAACCCATAATTTACATAGGGCTCACTCTGTGTTGTACATTCTGTGAATTTTGACGAATAAACCATCATAGTAGCATACAGACTAGTTTCACTACCCTAAAAATTCTACGTGCTCCATCTATTCATCCCTCCCTCCCCATTAACCCCCATTAAACTAATCTTTTTACTGTCTCTCTGGTTTTACCTTTTCCAGAATGTCATATAGTTGGAATTAAACAGTATGTGGCCTTTGCAGATTGGCTTTTTTTTCACTTAGCAATGTGTACTCAAGGTTCTTTCATGTCTTCTTATGGCTGGGTAGCTCACTTCTTTTTATTGTTAAATAATATTCTGTTGTCTAGATGAACTATAGTTTATCCTTTTATCTATTGAAGGACATCTTGGTTGTTTCCAAGTTTTATCAATTATGAATAAAGCTGATACAAACATTTGCATGCAGTTTATATGTGGAAATAAGTTTTTACCTCATTTGGGTAAATATCAAGGAGTATAATTGCTAGATCATATACTAATATTAATAGTATGTTTAGTTTTTGAGAAACTGTCAAACTGTCTTCCAAAGTGATAGTACTATTTTGCAGGAATGAATGAGAGTTCTTGTTGCTCCACATTCTGACCAGCGCTTGGTTTTGTGTGTGTTTTGGATTTTGACCATTCTGCTAGGTGTATAGTGATATCTCATTTAAAAAAAAAATAGCTATTTCCTTATGACATATGATGTTTGACATATTGCTTACTTGCCATCTGTATATCTTCTTTGGTGAGGTGTCTTCAGATCTTTTGCCCATTTTTAATTGGGTTATTTTTCATTGTTGAGGTTTATTGTAAAATATACGTAACACAACATTTACCAGTTTAGCCATTTTTAAGAATATGATTTGGTGGCATTCAACGCATTCACCATGTTGTATAATTACTACTATCTCTTTCGAGAACGTTTTCATCATCTCAAGCTGGAACTGTGTTCCCATTAAACAATAACTCCCCACTTTATCTTCCTCCAACCCTGGTAAGCTCTCTTCTCCTGTCTCTGTGAATTTACCTAGTCTATGTACTTCTTATACGTGGAATTATACAATATTTGTCATAAATATCTGGCTTATTTC